AAAAAAAAAAAAAAAAAAAGTTCGAGGGCACATCCGTCTGCCAATGATTCTGATCCTGACTGGCTGACTGAGTAAAACTAAAATGAGACTGGACGCCATCTAGGAAGAGGGGGTGTCTATGGGTAGAGTACTTTGAGGACACACAGGAACGTGGGCTCAGAAACAATGGGGTCTATGGAGAGGCAGGGGTGAATTGAGGGGAGCCTCAGAGATGTCAAAGCACTGACTTGGGGGGACTGTCCGTTTCAAATGCATTAACCAATATGCCTGAATTGAGAGAAGGGGTTGTGAGCTCTCCATGGAGGGATGGGGAGGAGGGCTGGGCTAACTCACTGTTGGGTGAAGCGTCAACAGAAGGTGACGCAGGAGGCTGGGTGACAGCCGTGGTTCCCTGTGCTGTATTCACTACGGAGGCATCGGGCTGGAACCTCAAGAAATGCACCCACGTTTCGTGGGTGGGAAACGCTGGGACCCCGCGGCCCATCTGGGGCAGACACCCGGAGGGATTCCAGAGTCAAAGTCCAATTGTGGAACACACTGGCATGGATCAAAAAATCAGCCTCACACTCGCCTCTTCAAAAAGAATGTTCTGCTGGGGCTGGGGCTTCCTGTAACAATTCTCGGGTCAATGCAGGTGTCTGTAGGGTTTCCTTCCTAGTGGCACTTATGGGTTTAGGATTTCTAACTTAACAAGCGCTCTATAGAACTGGTATTTTGAGGTGATTCCTCTCCTTTGTGTGCACCCGCTGGTGGATGCAGAGGCTGGTGCTCTGGCTGAAGGCCTTCCCGCACTCATCACACTTGAAGGGCTTCTCCCCGGTGTGCACTCTCTGGTGGATGCACAGGCTGGAGCTCTGGCTGAAGGCCTTCCCGCACCCACAGCACCTGTAGGGCTTCTCCCCGGTGTGCACCCGCTGGTGGATGCAGAGGCTGGAGCTCTGGCTGAAAGCCTTCCCGCACTCGTAGCACTTGTAGGGCTTCTCCCCCGTGTGCACCCGTTGGTGCATGCAGAGGCTGGACGTATGCCGGAAGGCCTTGCCACACTCCTCACACTTGAAGGGCTTCTCGCCTGTGTGCACTCTCTGATGCATGCAGAGGTTCGAGCTGTTACTGAAGCCCCGCCCGCACTCACTGCAGACATAGGGCTTCTCCCCTGTGTGAACTCTCATGTGGATCTGGAGATGGGAGCTCCAATTGAATGCTTTGCCACACTCATAGCATTTATAGGGCTTCTCCACGGTGTGGATTTTCTTATGCCTGTTAAGCTTCGTTGTGGTGCTAAAATCCTTACCGCAGTCATCGCACTTATAGACCTTCTCTCCAGTGTGGTCTCGCCAGTGAACGTGGAGCTCCGATATGTGAAAGAAACCCTTGTCACACTTGTCACACTTGTGGGGCTTCTCAGCAGTGTGGATTTTCTGATGCATGAAAAGGTCTGCTCTCTCAGAGAAAAACTCCCTACACATGGGGCACTTGTAGATCATGTTTCCTATTTGGTATAGTGACTTAAAAGAGGAAATCTTGACAACTCCAGGTATAGGCGCGAGGTCACCAAGTCCCCTACTTTGCCATGTCAGCAGCTTATCTCAGGCTCACTCTACTTGGGAGGCTCAGGGTCAGCCTAAGCTTTGCCCTGCCTGTCTTCCTGTGGAAGGCTTCCTCCTGCATAGTGTCCCTCACTCAGGGTGACTACTGGTTATAAAGTGACATTCACTTCCACGTGAAGCCCGGACTCATCAACACAGAACTTCCTGTCAGGTCCTGAGTTGTCCACATTCCAGGGGCTCCCAAGGCAAACCTTAGCGATTTTGAGTCCCTGGCAGCCACCTCGTGTAAAATGGGCTCTCGTGTCTCACTGTTAGACAGAGAGCCACACAGTGTCCCCTGCAGTAGAGGCTGAGACAGTGGGTGCTGGTCTCGGTCCCCTGCAGGATCCCCTGAAGAGTCAGTCTGATGTCCTGCCTCCTGCACATCAGACGGGAGCCTCCCAAGAAGAGGTTCCTCGGGCCCCAGGTGTGCGGCTCCTCCCTTCTGAGGCTCCCTGCACAGGTACCACTCCAGTCTCCTGTGACAGAAACAGAAATAAAGTCAGTGAAAAGGCTTTCTGTCCAGAACACTGCCGATGATTCCATAATTAACTGGATAGAAATGTGAGAGCAGTAACACAGACCTTTTCTGGTCTTGAGAAATGAGCCCTTATCTTCCATAGAGAGGTGTCCTTGGTATGCAGGTCTGAAGAGAATTTGCAGATATCATGCTCCTGGTCACAGCCCACGTGCAAATCCAATACAACCACTCACTGCAATTATCTGAGCAACATCTAGGGGGTGCTACTAAGAAAGGAGCGTCCTTAGAAGACCCACAGTGAGCACAGAAGCAGCTGTCCTACGTACAGGACCGAGGAGGACAACGGCCTCCCCTGTGAACTCTGGGATGGACAATGCTGCTGCTGCTGCCGGAGCTCACACACCCTATCTGAGCAGCCTCGCAGTCTAAAAGAACAACAAACATACATGGTGCTGTATTAGATGGTGCTCCCTTGCTTAACTGTCCTCAGTGGTTTCCAAAAACTCAAAGTCCTGCCACACACAA